ACAAAAGACTCATATCATCATCATCATCATCATCATCAATGGCTCTAAAACTCTTGAAAAGTCAAGGCCTCCCGCAATTTCAACCGCCAGTCCTCTCTAAGTAATGCTGCTGCCTTCCAGTTGTGGACACCAATGATACTTCGGGCGTCGGCTTTCACTCCATCAGCCCATCTAAGTCTCGGTCTGCCTACCCGCAGACCTTGTCATTTGCCTCACAACATCGGCTTCTTTATATAGCTGCATCAGCTCATCGTTGGATCGCATTCGTCATTCCTGATTAATATTTATTATTGGGCCGAATATTCTTCTTAGCACACGACGTTCAAATCAAAGAAGAGCTGTTTATTGGGCTCTTGATATTGTCCAGCACTCCGACCCATATGTTAGTACTGGTCTGATCAGGGTTTTGTACAAGAGCAGCTTGGTTTTACGAGAGATCACTCTACTTTTGAGATGTCCCTGGAGACCAAAATAAGCTCTGTTTGCGGCCATAATGCGCCTCTGTATTTCAGGATTCATATCGTTTTTTACATTAACTTGCGAGCCAAGGTATATAAATTCCGAGACATCTTCAAAAGTCATCCCTCCGATTTCTACATTTGCCTCTCTGTGGCCTCCATCCTTTGGGTCGGCCCGCATAAACTTTGTTTTCTTCTCATTGACCTTTAAGCCAATTCTCGCTGCTGCTCCTTGTAGCGCTAAGAAAGCATCTTTTATAGCTGCCCGTGTTCTTCCAACCAATGCAATGTCATCGGCAAACCCTAGTAATTGCACTGAATGATTAAAGACCGTTCCACCAATCTGAATTTGGGATCTTCTAATGGCACATTCGAGGGCAATGTTAAATAGAAGACACGCCAAGCAATCTCCTTGGCGCAGTCCCTTCTGCATTTCAAAGTAGTCCGACATATCACCTTGGATTCTGACAGTGCATTGCACCTCCTTCATTGTCACTTGTATCAGTCACACAAGTATACGTGGAACACCCAGACTCAACATATCATGGCAGAGCTTATCTCTCAGGATGCTATCATAAGCTCTTTTAAAGTCTAAGAAGAGGTAGTGTGTGCATACATTATACTCTCTTGCTCTTTCTAGGATTGTTCTAATAGCGAATATCTGGTCGACCGTAGATCTTCCTCGCATGAATCCAGGCTGATATATTCCTATTTCTCTCTCAGCGAACGGAAGTAGCTTCTGAAAGATGATTCTTGAGTGAATTTTATATGCACACGATACCAGAGATATTCCACGATAGTTGTGACAATCCAAGATATCACCTTTCTTATGGATCGGGCAGATGATTGTCTTGTACCAATCATCTGGTAATACTTCTTTCGCCCATATTTTCATAATAACATTATGCATAAATCTTGCGAGTTCTTCTCCTCCATATTTAAACAATTCCGAGGGTATCCCATCCGTCCCAGGGGCTTTATTGTTTTTCAGGAATCCTGTGGCGTCTTCCATATCTTCCATGTTGGAAGACTCCAGATCACCAACCGGTAATTCCTGCCTTTTTCTCTCTACTCATAGACTAATATACTTGACTATAATAAGACCTATTTGGACTTATGGAGTTGAGCTATGGGGCTCCACTAAACCATCGAATTCCTCTCATATCAAATCCTTACAATTCAAAATCCTTCGTAAAATCCTCAATGCTCCCTACTTTATTACAAATAAAACCATCCATAATGACCTTAATGTTTCTTTTGTTTCAGATCTGGCCCAATCCAGATACCTATCCTTCCATAATAAACTTCAGAATCATTCCCTCTCTCTCGTTTCTAACCTTGCTTCCTCTTCAATTCCTAATAACCCTCCGAGGCATCTGAAAAGAAGATGGCCCCGTGATCTTCTAATGTAGACATATCATTAGAGTGCTACCATTGGGTAGTTACTCAGCAAGTGTTTTCATGTCATTATATCCATTATGTTCAAACTTACTAGATGTATTTATTTAATACAGTTGTAAATGTCATTAAGAAAAAAAAAATAAATAAAAAAGGTAAATGATTAGCACCTAAACAATCCACATGTAAGTAATGTAACTTTTTGATTGAAAATATGACAGTAAATATAAATTTCCACCCTCAACCTCTTATAAATACAGAAATATTTTCATAGCCATGAAAATAATAATCAGAGTGGTTGAACATGAATCTGATGTAAAATTTCCTGAAATCTTTCTCATATTCATGGATTTGTCTGGAAAAATAAAGTTGGTTGAAAGCTTGGAAAGTAAAAAAAACAATAAGCAAACATATTTCACTGCATTATAATCTAGAAAACAATCATCTTAACCATGAAAATTTTTCAAAATATTGATGCATTACATCACAAATTTACAAAAATAACTTCAACTATGGATTATTAATCAGCATTCTAAAATCTTAAAAACTGATATTTTTATTTAGAAGCAAAGTTACAGTAAACATTTGTGAGGTAAACTATTAATTACTGAACATTAACGAAACATGAAAAAATTAACAACTCAATGGTGAATCACTAATTTATCATTTTTTAATAAGTACAAATTAAAATTTCAAGTTTAATCAGGAAAATATAAATAGAGAAGTAAAATAAAAAACTTATTACCTTCTACATGCCTGACATTCTGCCATGATTTCCTAAAAAGCTTTTTTAATCCCTGTATCAAAGTATCTAGAAAATATATAAACATTTGAACTATTATTGATTATACAAATAATGCAGATTAATAAAAATGGTTACAACAAATATCAAGAGGCTAATTATATTATTTTTAAAATTATTGTAGTTACAAAAAACAAACACTTGAATGTTTTTATTTTTAATTTAAAATGCATCAATTACCTGATTTAAAAAGAGTCACTCATAACTTTATTATTATTATTTAAAAAAAAAATCAAAATGAAGTACTTTAACTTTTAAAAATCCAAATGTTTTTCACTTCCTTAAAAACTACTTTTACAATAAAACATTTATTTTAATTTCAATTAATATTTAACCTTATTTAAATTTGCAGAATTATTATTTTTATTTGTATTATTTAATTTATTAATATTAATTTATGAAATTTATTTCATTTGTTTGTATTATGTTCTCTCAGATAGGAATAACATTTTTCCTAATGCTTTTGGATTTAAAGTGCTATTTAACAAACAAGCTATATGATATATTATAATACTATTAAATTTGGGAAATTTATTATATTTTTGGGTTTCTATCTCTTCAGAGTTTTAGAATAACATCTACATCTCATTGTGCAGTTTAATATTATTCGATGTCTAATAAAATAGTCAAATTTAGAGAATGATTCATTTATTTATAACTGATTCTCACTTTCATACTGGTGTTTTCTTATTATTACTTTTAACTTTTAGTTCTCTTCCTAGCAACTAATTTTAAAATAGATACTCAATAAATTTGAGGGAAAATAATTATTAAATTAAAAACAATACTAACCTTCTGATTTTGCTTCCTTTTCCATTACATCCACTGAGCCACTCATTAGTTGCTGATCACTGGATGCTAAAATAATTAATACAAATGTATACATATATAATATATTCTTTACTGCTCAAAAATGAATTGAGATATTGTTAGTTATGTATGATTCATTTTCCCTAGAATTTATATTTTCATTTTTTACATCGAACGGTAATATAAATAAGGTTGTATTTGACCTTGGAAAATGTAATAAAAGGTGATTTAAAAAAGTAATAAAATTAACGGCTTATGTGATCTAGTTTTTATGATTGCAAATTGTAAACATTTTATTAAAATATAGTAATTTGGGTAATATTCTGTTATGTGCTACCTCTCTGCACCTATTTAGCAAACTGTTTGTAATGTTGTTACTGATTTTACAAGGAATTGTATACCATAAACATGGTAATACTGCTCTTAGTTGCTGAAGGTTAAGAAGCTGAAAACAATTGACTAAAAGCCTTCTCTGCTGCAGTGCATTCCACATATACTCAATGGGATTGAGATCTGAAGACAATACAGGAAGAAGCAGATGTAAAATATCCAAATTATCAAGACATTGATGAACAATTTTCCCTTATGAGGTTGTATATAGTCGTCAAGAAATGGAAATCTATGGCATTTATGGCCATGATTTGAAGAATGCACTTTCCTATAATACCTTGAACATAAAGAACTGCAATGAGATTAAGTTCCACAATATGGAGTAGAATCCATTCTCCTGAGTAGACTGCATCTCTAGACTGCATTGAAGGAAGCACAAACTGTGGCTGTGTATCCATCTCCTGTTCTTAGTAGATTCTTTGGTGCCTAAGAAAAAAAGAAACACGACTTGTTTGTAAACATAACAGCTTTCCAATTTTTATCCTCACCTAGGCACTTGCTGCATCATGTTCTGTGGAGTTGCTGCAGATTGTTTTAAAGTTGCAGAAGATATTAGATTAACTTTCCACAAATGAATGACGAATAGTTTGTGTTGATATGGGCCTAGGCAGAACATCCAACACTTCATTAAGCTTTATCGGGCACTATAAAACTGTCACTTCTTGCATTAATATCAATATTTCTGTCATCCCTTGGTGCAATTATGTGCTGAGGTTGACTAACAGGTGTGCTATTGGTACTTACGGTTTTTCTGAATCTTGCGAGCTTCTGATTTAATATGATGTCTTTTTTTTGTTAAACAGAATATTACGGAATTAAAATTGTGAAAAGTCTAAAACAAATGTAGGTTTTCAAAATGGGTATTCTTCAGTAGACCATCTTTGAGTTAATGATCTATTAAAAATAAAATAAAACTTATTGTTTACAAACAAATAAAAGAATCCCTAATGGACAAGAAAAAGGTATTTTAATTAGAATGAATAAAATAAATATCAAATAAAAATATCCCTATTCATTTTTGAGCAGTATATATTGCACCAACAGAAATTAACTAGTATAAAAATAAAATAGTGAGTGGAGGAGAGTATTATTGCTGCCCTAGTTATGATGCCATAATTATAGATTATAGCCAGAATCTAGGCAAAAATTATTTAATTATTGTTTTAAAATACAGTATTCCAGTATCAAGTATTTAAGTCATTTACTAAAAAAGTATTTCAAATACAAAATGTTTCTCGTATTATGTTCTATAATGTAAAACATAACTTTAAAGAATCTACTCAATTAGGTGATTTATTTTGTATTTTTGAAGTTCAAAATAAATTACATCTTTTTCTATTTTTGAAAGAAAATGCAGTTACAAACATTGTATATTATATTTTACTTCTTAAATCTAAAATAATAAAAAAGTAGTTCATATTGTATTTCAAAATATTTCAGTTTAAATACAGCCCAGGTTAGGTTTATAGGATCAATTACAGTCAGTTAAAATTATCATAACCGTTTCTGGAAAATAAAATAAGCTTTTTGAAAGACGGGTTAAAAAAATTGAAAACCAAAAATAAATTTGGTAAAATAAATAAACCAAGCCATTTGTAAATAAATGGTTCTATTACTATGATTGAAGGACTATTATAATATATGAAATATTAAATTTTAATTACCTGCAGATTTTATTTCTTTTTTTATCATGATATCTTCCACAACTTCTGTGCGTCTCTGTTTATGAACACTGGATTCTAAAATAATTTATTTAAGAATATTAACTGTAGTTAGGTGAAATAAACATTAAAATATAGCTAGTATAAATTGTGGCAAGTTACATTGAATGAATGATGTATTACTCATAATAATGGTAAGTACTAAGAAAAGTGTTTTTAGGGAATTCAATTTAAAAAATAAATGATTATTTTTTTCTTAATAGTTTGAAAAATTTATTTTTTTTGTTGAACGCCTTTTACTGTAACTGTGTTACATTTTAAGGTCTTATTGAAATTGTGTTTATGTTTTGTTGTAAACAATAATTATTAAATGTATAAGTAAGAGTGATGGGGCTCACCGATGTTTGTGTTTATAAGTGTCTTATTACTACTTATTAACTAACTTACTATCTAAGATTGAAATAAGATACTGAGCTTTGCCACCCAACTGGAGCCAGTGCTGGAGTTAGTGTATTGAAAAGCGGATTTGGAAGTGCTTTTAATGAGTCCATAAATTTTACGTGTTTTTTTAGAATGAACTGTTCAATTTTGGTAAGTTCAAAGACTTTGTGCAGTTGATCTACCTTTAATTTTTTTAATGAAGTGGACCGAGTCATTTTTCTTAATACACGTTTTGTTATCGTCGGATATGTTTTAGTGTGCAGTCAGTAAAATGTGTGATGAGTGGTGCGCCGTCCTTCAAAGTAGGTTGTAAGATGCTTTTATATATTACCAATTTAAGTCTAAGTGAAAGCGTTGGGAAAGTTAGAAAATGTTGAAGTCTTTATGTTTTCAGTCTTACAGATCTTACTTTATTATAAATGTGAGCCTACAGTTTCATATGCTGATCCAGCTCAATGCCCAGCTAGATGATGGAATGAGATGGTGGCTCAGTGGTTTTTCCAATTTTTGTGTGGTGTCGCAGTAAACTGATGGGTCTATAGTTTTCTGGAGCATTGCCTGTTTGTTACAGAGGGAACAATATTGCGTGTTTCCATTGTTCTGAAAAATATCTCAGTCGGAGGTAGGTATTGTATAAATTTGTAACGTGTACTATACCTCTCCAAGGAACTTGTTTTAGCAAAATGGTTTGTACACCATCTTGACCCGATGTACGGTTGCTGCTTGTTCGTCGAATATTGGTTTTTAATTTTTTAGGACTTATAAACATAAAATTTATGGTCTAGGTAGGATTGATTGTGGGTTAGTTCTTATTACAATAACCATTGATTAATTTAATCAGGAAAAGACAAGTGGTCTATATTTTGAAAAAAAAAATAAAAATAGGTAGTTTTTTATGTGGAGAATGGGTGCAACTAATCACTTTCTGCCCAGAGTACCAACTACCTGAAATCGGGGCCGACAACTACCTCATTAATTTACAGAATTATTGTTAGTATATTTTTGACTAGATCTACTGAAAAGACGATGACACATATGTCCTATCAGAAAATAATTTCCCACCAATTGTATCCCAAACTCTTCAATCACACATCAAAAACCTTGAAAAATGGTGTCTAAACTGGAGTATTAAAATAAATTCCAAGAAATCCCATCAAATCACCTTTACCTTTCGATGTAAACCTATTATATCCTCTCCTTCATTATCTTTTAATAATACTCCACTTATTCCTGTTGAACAGATCTGATATCTAGGACTAGGGGTGCCCATCTTCCCTCCCTCGTAAGGCCTAAGGTCGATGGCGCAAGAACCTATCTGCCGCCCCTCCTCCCAAGATATTTTATTGCTCACCTTTTCTTAAAAACAGAACAAGCTAAGGAAACATTAGAAAATCGTAGATCATGTACAATTACACTTGCTACGGTCTATTCTATGTTCCCCCCTTGTCTCTTAGTCCGGAAATTCTCAAAAATTGAAAATCCGTTAAAATATGTCTCCTCAAAAACCACTCCATGAAACCTCATTCTGGGCACCCCTGCCTAGGACTTCATCTGAATGAATGCTTAACTTGGAATCCTCATTCAAGAAAGCGCTTGACGTTACCGGCTACTTCAGCATTAACAAACTCTTTAAGTTTCCAATGAATTTCAGAAGAAATTACTAAAAAAAGGTCAATTTGGACTTATGGAGATGTTTTGGGACTCTATTGAATTCTCACTTTTCTCTCGTATCCAATCCAAGATCTTTAATGCTCGTAAAATCTTTAATGCTCCTTACTTTGTCACAAATGAAACTATCCATAATGCTCTTAATGTTACATATGTTTCAGATTTGGCACAATCTAGATAACTATCCTTCCATAACAAACTACAGAACCACCCGAACCCTCCCGATTCTATCCTTGTTTCCTCTTTGCAGCTTATAATTCTCCAGGGCGTCTGAAAAGATGGCTTTGACTAATGAAGAGAATTTTTATTAGAGTACTACCCAAAGGACAGTTCCTCTAATAGTATTTCCATGTCATTATATTTCTTTGGTCACATTTACTTGTTCTATTTTTATTTCAGTACAGCTTTAAATTTCATGAATAAAAAAAAAAAATCTCCGAGTTTGCAGTGTTCGATTCTTCATTAGAAAATATATTGACACAACCCTCTTTAAGAGTTATTTTAACAATAATATAAGATATTAGTATATTTATTTATTTATTTCCACCCTCCCATGCCACAATGGCAATACTGGTGTTAAGATATTAGTATATTATTTTTTACAAATCGGCCGTTTTTTAACAACTGTGCGACGTTATCAGCTTAAATTAATCGTTAAGATCGTACCGTTAGCTTTCCCTAACTCACGTACGAGTACCGATGCTGATTTTTTCACCTTACATTATTTTCTATTTGTATTATATTTATTTATATATGATAAGCTGTTTTTAGTCTATATTTTTGTTTTAAATGGATGACCCCATAAAATTTTATCACGCCTCAAGATTAGTCTGAAATATGATTTACATAATATAGTCATAAATTGAAATGATATTGTGGCCTAAATTAAGTTGTGTAAATCTTACTTAACATAATATTCACATAACGAAATATATCATAATATTCTAGATTCATAATGACTTTAATCTACTCGAGTGAGAAAAATGGCGTTATTTTTTTAGTGCGAAATAAATAATAAAAATATTAACGGCCTTAATGTGACACATGGTTTCGGGATAACGCGAAGAAAAATAAATGACATTTTAAAAGCTGGTCAGTTGCCTAAACAGGGTCTGAAATATGCTAATTCCTTGAAAACTTTTTGTCGAAGAGTATTTAAAAAAATAAAATAAAATAAGACGCTTAATGGTACTATGAAAAACAAGAGAAACAGTTGCCTAACTGGTCCAGGCCACTAGGCTGTAAATTAACCTTCTTCGAACCAGATCTTCATCTTTTTGTTTCTCCATCCAAAAATAACAATAATGCTATTTTTGTATTTAGTCCACACCTAGAGTTGTTGTCGGTGTGTAAATCATGTAACTCGGTTGTCCAATTAGGTATGTAAACAGTCAAGACGCAGGCTTTAAATAAACATCATTAAGTGAGGATTATACTTCGAAGGTCGTTAAAATAAGTTAATTATATTCAACAATAAGATAATAACAACTTACATATATTAAAAGCTTTGAACGTAATACATAATTAAATATATATATCGGCACATGTTTAATGAAATTTTTTAAAAAAGGATTTAGTGCTGAGTAGGTTGAGATACGATAAAATTTGTTGTTTGGACATCGATTTTTCAATAAAACGCGTTGAACGCGTTTTTTTTTCTTCGAGAAAACGAATGAACTAAAATAATGATATATTTAAAAAAAAAACAAAAAACAAACATGTTTTATATAATTTTAAAAGATTATTACATGAATTTAATATCTTATTTCAGTGTATATCGATTTAAAGTCTGTTCATGGTAAAAAAATGATCTTGAGAAGATCCTCCAGTCTAGACCACCGCCGTACAGTTTGGCTTTCCATCAACAAAAAAATAAAGAAACCAACGTATTCTGCCTCAGGTTATTAACCGTATAGTAGGTTTCAGAGTTAGTTATTGAACTAACCAAGGTTCTGTAAAGAAATGGAAAAAATCATTTTATATTTAGATGATTCAAAAGCTAAACATGATTTACATTAGTGTGAAAAAGTCTTCGAACAATTGTTTATAAAAATGCTAAATGCTTTAATTTAATTTTTTTTATCTTCTTAATTAATAAACTGATTTAACCATGTAGACATTGCAGATGTGATTTAAATATATAAATTAACATGATTTTTAATTAAAAAGCCAAGGGACCAATACGTTTTGATGACTTCTTTCCCTCTGACTTATGTTCCATCATTCAACTACTTTGTTATCCACTTCAGTTTTTACTCTTTATTGTTAAAATCAAGAACTTTCGTATAAACTCTAGAAGTGCATCTATTAAAATTATCCCTATTTCATTTAACATTCCATGTTTTATAACTTCTTTTTGTTTTCAATTTAATGCTAATTTTATTTCAGAAAATGATAAATTATCATATTTTTTATGGTTATTTTGCTGAAAAATAAAGTTCTGCCCAATCAGCTTTGATGTAGATGGTATTGCATGGCATCTAAGAATGTTTTGGTACCGTTTTGCATCTAGTTTTTCATCTATTAAGAGGAGGTCGCAACTCCACATCTAGAAAAACACCCCAAAACCATTAAGAAGCCATCTCTGTGTTTTACTGTTGGTTGTAAAAATTCATTAGAAAATTCCACTCTAAATTTTTTTAAAAAGACCAACTGAAACCAAACATTTGAAATCTTGACCCACCTCTTTCTAAACGTTTGTTTCATTCTTCTTCCATCTAATTTTCGTGTTCTTTGGCAAACTTAAGTCGCTTTCCCTTCTTTAGAGATCGAAATATGTTTTTTTTACTGAGGCTACACCACATTTAAGGCCAAGTAATAGGAGTATTCATTTGACAATTTGGGTCTCTGTAGCATTGGCTATTTCCTGAGCCATTGGCTATTCTCTGCTAAATTTTCAGTGGTTGTGAAAACATAATCGTTTTAAATGTTATTAAATAGCAAAACCTGTTTTTTTTAGACCCATCTGAACGT